GGCTTTTAATACGGAATTCCACATAGACATCAAACGAATAATAGTAATGTAATGTGATCCCCAATGAGTATTTGCTGGCCTTTTCAAACCAACTTCTTGATTTTCCCCTTGCCACTTACATTCTCCTCCCTTTCCAAACTTTCTAGAAGCCTGTCATGTTTTATTTGTCTAAGTTTATCTCTTCTTTTACATGAAGCCCCGGTAACATTCACAATCTTAGTGACATATTGAAAAAAAATCACACACAATTCTATTACACTTAGCAACAATAACCACAAGATGGAGTTGGTGTGAAAAATAATGGACATACCTTGCAGCTGAATTTTCTTTCAAGATGAGAGCATTCAATCCATTATATTCACCGCGCATATTCAAAGCTCGATCGTATCCCTGACCTTTTAACCTTGATATTGACAAATTAAGTTTTGCAAACAATTCATCAATATAATTCTTTAAAGAAAGAGCCGAAGTGTCATTGACATGCACCATAGCAAGAAAACATTCAATGACATGTCCAAATTTGTTCACATATCTCACAACTCATATTTGCTCCTTGATTGAGATGTCTCTAGATTCATCAACCATAAGAGTAAAAACTTTATCCCCAATGTCTTCAAGAATAACTTTGGTAACCTCCACATAACAAGCACTAGTTATCTCCTTTTGGATTTTAAGAGATGTCATTAAATTATTTCCAGGAGCATTCTCATTCATTGTTTTGGCAACATCTTTACTTCTTTGTGTATATCATTGAATTAATTCTAGGAAATTACATTTATTCAAAGAAGTTGAAGACTCATCATGACCATGAAAGGGAAAACCCTATCGCAAAAGAAAACGTGTTACATCCAAAATCGTTGTTTAATAAATTTGATCTGAAGCTTCCATTTCACGCTCTTGTGCACTTAGCAAATGTGATACACTTTGTCTTTGATTTTGAAAGCCCTCAAGTTGTACTCTTGCATCATTATGAACATTGTCTACTACACCAACATGTGTATTAAATGTTTCAAGTGCTTTCTTCCAATTACTAACCCCCACATCAGTGATTGCCACTTCCCCAGACCGACATTCTCTATTGGATTTTTTTTGAAGAGATAGTGCCATAGACAAAAAGCCGCATCTTTTGATATGCTATACTCTAACCATGGATATTTGTCAAACCAAGAGGGTTGAAAACTTCTACAATCTTCCCCATACTTTTTCCGGGGATAAACATGCCCAACCGGTTTACAAGGACCCCTACTTAAGTACTCTCGACGGAAAAGATCTCTACTCAAAGGATCAAAATCGTTAATAGGTCTACGTAAACCTGGATCGGCAACCACATCATCTGGATTTAGTTCAACATGAGATAGTTTTACCCTTTTATTTTCTTCAGTGGGAGTTTTTGAAGACTTTTCACTCGATATTAAGAATTTTAACATTCTTAACCTAACAAATTATACAACAATAAATTCATATTTTAATTAGCCTTGATTTGTATGTAATCACTACATTCAATATTAAATTAAAAAACAATTTAGCTAAGAAAAAAAGAAATGTCTTATGGAGTATATAATCTATATGTATTAATATATATATATATATATATATATGGAGTACATAAACTATGCGTATATAATATATTTTATTTATTATGATATACTCCGTATTAAACTATATCTGATCATACTAAATAAATAGTACCATGTATATAATCTATTTAGTATGTAGATACACTGAATTATATGTAGTATCGAATAACTCATTAATCTATTTAGACATCATTACATTTACTATTTGTTATTGGCATAAAAAAACAAGCTTGGGAATAAGAGATGCTTTGTGCTGGTTGCGAGATCAAGCTTGGGACTTCGTCATGGTTGAATCAGACTCTTTACAGGCAATCTCATAGATTAAACAAGGAGCAAGTCTTTCGTCGAGAGGATTGTTGGCAGAAGATATTACAGAATTAAGCTCGGGTTTTAATCATGTTTCTTTTTCTTTCGTTAGACGTTCAACGAATAGGGTTGCCCATACATTAGCTAAGGGTGTCTGTTCTTTGTCTGATACTCAAATCTGGGTGGTTACACCTTCGAGCTGTATTATGGATGCTTTATCTTTCGATTTGATTAATGATAATTAAGTTGATTTCTCCCAAAAAAAACTATACCGAATAATTAGCATAACCTATTTAGTATTTAACTATAATCCATTTAGTATATGGTTTGTATATTCTACTTAGTACATAATCTATTTCGTACTAATGCAAAATTTCAGACGTTCGGGACGTGATGTTTTCCTGCCATAATAAAAACTGCATTATTAAGATTTAAAAATAACACCTAATATTATTTACATTGGTAGTATAAATGCATTATACACATTTGTACCATTTTAAATTGGTCTCATATTTTAAGATAATTAAACTGAAACAATGAGAGTAGTTAATTTGCACCCTTTTATACGCCTACTGATTTTTCACACAACCTCAAGTCGTACAGTACATATGAATGGTAATAGATCATTTTTTCATAATGACATCTGAAAAGCTACTTTTCCAAATCTCATCAAACAGTAAATTGTATACCTTAGATGTATGACAAATAATATGTTGATATATTGAATATATTTTTAATATAGTTGTATCATTTTGAAGTATTTCTATATTTAATTTTTTGTACAATTGCGAAATGTACACTTAAAAGTGAAGCATAATCCCGAACCTACTCTGCATACATATTGATGAATTTAATTTATAGAAATTAAAAATACATTTTATAGATTTATATTTCACACCATTCTAAATATAAAGATTATAATTTAAAAATACAATTATAAATTACAATTATAACACAATTTTTGTGGTTCTACCTAATCCTCAATATGAAATTATATTTTAGCAATTATAGACATTTAATTATTGAAGGTATAATACAAAATATAGAATATAGAATTATATTTAAAAGTAAATATTCAATAATAAATATATTTTAAAGGATACAATATCTCTTATATATACAAACAGAAATATAATAATAATATTAATAATTATTATTAAAATATTTAAAAGTATGAGATATCTTTTATAAAATTATAAATATATAAAAATATTGTATACTGTTATAGAAATATTTTAATCTCTTATGAAATAATATGAATCTCTTATGTGTTTATTTATGTATATACAACACCGTGTATCTCTTTAACGTTTATTTATGTATATAAATAATAATTTTAATAATTAATATTGAAATTATGGCAAATACATGCTAAAGTATTAAATATCTCTTATACTATTAAAATAGATATTTATATTTCATTTTTATACAATTATAAAGCACATGTTATATTTTATTTAAACCATTCCAAAGGGATACAGTCATACAGTTAGAAATTATATATATGTATAGTTATCCAATTATACTATTTATCTTCTTAAAATATACTACATATTATGACAACATAATAATAGTAGTATTATATATTATGTAATGTATGCTTGTACATTTTGAATTCTATGTAATTTCATATTTGTATGATATGCATGTTTTATGCATAATTGTATCGTTTTGAACGGTTTCTATTCTTGATACACACCTATGAATATATACAATTTTATTTTTGGGATACACCTATGAATATTCTCCACATATGTGATGAACCTCAAATGGTGTACAAAACATCATTTTATTTTTAACTATTACTCACATTTCATTTAAATAATAATTTGAACAGAAGTTAAAATTTTCAATTATATAAGTAGATGAAAATTGTTTGGCCACAAAAAATTATTTTTTGTGAACATGTTTGACCACAAAAATTACATAAGTAACTTTATTATTTCATATTATTTTTATTCACTTAGATTTATAAACTCCTAGATAATTTAGAGATGTATATATTTTGTAGATGTCAATTGAATAATTACATTATATGGTAAATAAATCTTGTTAAGAGCATCATGCAGTTTACTTTAAAAGCCCGTTTGACACTTGACATGCAAAATGATTGCATGTAAAGTTTAGGACGGTAAATATATAATTTGCATGTAAAATAGAAATACATCATTTGGTCATGCGTGTAATTTATTATTAAATTACACGCAAACTCTTTATGTTATTTGTTTGTAAAAGACTACATAGCAATTACGAAAAAAAATCTTTTATATATACATACTATGTGTAGTTTATTATATACTTTTCACAGAGTAACTAAAGAACATACTTTTCAACCCAACAATTCATTATATATACATACATGTATATAGATATAAATATTATATATACTACGTATAATATTATATACTCCGTAAAATTATCAATCAGATAAGCTTTGCTACCCTAGCCCATTGAGTTGAATAGCTAATGACTCTTCTCAACCCCAATCACTGACTAAGTATAGAAATTGCCTGCTCCTTGATGTAATTGATGTTTAGGGTGGCTAAATTGAGGTGATGTTCTTGACGACTTTCTTTTTCTTATATGGGAGAGGGAATTGGTTATAGATTGCTGCCAACTATTTTATCTTGTCACCACACTCCAATCATAAAAGAAGTAGGATTAAATCATAAAACATGGAGTTGAACGTATTTTATAATCCGTATTGACCAATGTAAAGTAGTTTACCACCCTTCCCACAGATAAAATATTTTACATGGTACAATGTAAAATGTTTTAAAAAAAGTGTCAAATACTTAAGACAAACAGACTAAAATGTTTACTTTTTCACAGAGTAAAATGTTTACTTTTTCACACTTTACGTGTAAAGTATTTACTTTGCATCATACAAAACGAGCTCTAAGATGTATTTGGAGATTGGAAGTGTTAAATTCAAATATTTTAAATGCTTAAATTTTATTATAACACTATGTTTTTCTTTTATGTTTCCTACATGTGGTTAGCAAATATTTGTACATGTTGAGTCTAGTTAGTTCAACTATATATATTTTAATTAACTATTTGGTTGGGTTGAGTTGTAAATAGAAAAGCTAGAGAAACAAATTTTAAAAACTTGAATTAGAACATAAATTACATACCATTACATTAAGAATATGTTACATTACACTTGGCAACAAATTCCATAAAAAATAAATGCCATAACTTAAAACATAGGATCAAAATAAATTACATAGCAAAATAACCCACATCAAAAGTTTGTAACATAACTTTATCTTATCCCTAAGATATTCCAGGCTGCAAAAGATGTTTTTTAGATGCTAATGCACCAACTAGACTTTCTTCAGCTTCTTTACTGGCTGGACAAGTGGGGGCTCAACAAACAACTTTCTCTTGATGCCATCATAGTTCATCACAACTGCTTCCCTTTTTCTTTTGACAGTAGCAAACTTGCCGCTTCCTCATTATGTATGATGACCTGAAAAAGTTTATAAAGTTTAAATATTAAATATCAAATACAAAGGTATACTTTATAGGTAAGTGATAAGAAGTCAGTACACATACTTCTTCAGGCGTAGAAAACTCCCTTTTAAGTAGTGTGAAATCATCTTATTCCCCAACTGCTTTTCCTTTATACTTGTATAAAAAGAGAACAGTTGAATCACAATTCATTCCAATTACACTAAATGTAGAAACACCCTTATAGTTTTTACTTTCTCTCTTTGTTTGAACTCGAAACAACTCCTTAGTCTCAACCAAACCATCAATCTTGACCGGAAAATGGTAAGGTCTAACACTTTTCTATATATTTCACCAATCTTAAATATATTAATTTTTGCAGATGTATTAGATATAAGCATTAAATATTGAAATGCATCTTTCATAAAACCTTTTGAATATGTTCATGAATATTAGTTGCGGGTTTCCCACTAAAACACATTCTTTTTCCCAAAACACAAAATAAGCATGAGCGTCACCCTGACATTAACTTTGTACCTGAAATATTTCAAAATTTTAGTACGAAGTATATGTTTTGTGACTGTTAGTTTAAAAAACTCACAAGGGAAATGTTCTCACTTTAGAACTACTTATGTTGTGTTGCACACACCATACCTGAAATTGTTACCTTCAGGTGAAACCTTTCTACTACATCCCTTACAAGATACAATAGTATATAGTACCAGTCCATGTAACTGTCTTTTGCCAAAATCTCTCTGTAGACCCAGTGCTTTCCATCCTATTATTATATGTACATAGTAAATCCCTAATCAGTCTACAACAAATAAAATAATGTAAGGAACTTTATAATATTGAGCATATGGTATATCACAACCTCTTCCATTTTCATTAGATCATCAATTGAAACCAAGTGGACTTTTTCGGTTGTTAGGTCATATTGAAAAGTAGGAGTAATGAAAGTAGCTAAGGCTAGTGCATCATCATCATCATCATGACTGGACCTATGTCATTTAAGTAAAGCATTGGTTAGAACCACAATATGTGATAACATTAAAAACATGATATTAACGAATTTTCTTATGTGGAATTGAACACTGCACACTCCTCACTGTCGCATTCAGTAACATCTTAATAACATTGAACATGTTTGTCACCCCATCCGATCTAAAAAATTAACACTGTTATGAACAAACCAATTGAATATCATATTAGTTTTACAACATACCCGGAAATTTCTTGCACAACAACGTTGAAGAATAAGAATGATAGACTTTGGTTTTATCTTCAGAAAATTCACAAACTATTCTACTATGCTCTCCCAAAGAGTGAAAGAGATAGTATTTCCGCTACAAAATATAATACGTATGTCAAAGATGAAAGTTACGGTAAACTAGGATTTTTCTTTGAAATACTTACTTGACATCACCAAGGTTAAGATCAACCAACTTAGTTTGCCTACCATTCTTTGCTAGGGCTTTTGGGTTTGACATGAAAGGTACCTTACCGATCACATCTAAAAGTGATTATAACTTAATGAATAAGTCGCAATTATACATTTAATGAAAGAAAATGTATTGTTTATGAAAAATTCACCTATGGCATAATGGGTTTCGTCAACAACTTCTGCATCTTGCAAGGTAGCAATTATTAATGTAAAGTCAAAGATTCATATTGGGAACTTGATGTTTGAGATTTGAAAAGCTTCAGTTCGATTGATGAATAACAACTTGAAACCATTCCTTGTTGAATTGCCTTGAAATTCATATAGTTGTCTAGCATCAAGAAATCTCTTATTGCATAAACATTTACTTAAATAGGGGCTCAAACTTTGCAACTTGAGATTTAGCAACGTGTGCATGCATTTTTGTTCCCTATATATATATATATATATATATATATAGTTGTTAGTTCATACAATAACTTAATATATTGGAAATCAAACTAGAAAGCTAAGAAACTACCTTGGAGTCATGGAAAATGCACTCCAAGGATTCACCGTGACTCCCTTGGGAAGGGATAACATAAACACGAACAACTTTGGCTTTGAATGCCATATCAATGTTTGAATGGTCGAACTCGTTTATTAAAGACCACATGTCAACCATTTCATATAGGTTAGTATTTACGAGTGAACTCAAGGATTGAATGGTGGAAGGCGATGGTAAGTGAAGCTATTTATAGAAAAAGTGAAATGCATTGTGTATTCACAATATATGCACACATACATTTATGTGTATTTCGTTTCGTCAAAAGGTTGCCACAATGAGCTGTCAAACACTCTTGGTTGTAGGAGTAATAATATCTATTTATCTATATACAAAAGGAAGATGAAAATGAGGCCAACTTCCCGTCCATTAATTTTGGATAAAAAGGGTGAAGGCATAGATCCTAAACGTAGGGCATAAAGGCTACATAAAGGACTGTTTGCATTGATAATACACATGGAGTAGTAGATTAATAGGCATTGCATATATTCTTTTTATATTCTACGGGTATTTGCATTGGCAATTTATTATTTGATCGATGTACCCGTTGCTTTCAACCGATTTCCACCTATATAGGTACACAAATAAACTGCAAGGTATTACGGAGTACTATGTAGAATATGTCTCTAATAAATAAAAATGAAAAAAGTAAATAAAGAATATAAGAAAATGAAGTGGATGGGCTCTACTCAAAATAAAATACCCAAATTTTTGAAGTGCTATAATTTTTTTAATTTGTAATTCAATTTTACAAAAACTGTATGGGATTTATAACTTTTATCATCTTTCATATAACACCAATATTGAATATATAATATTAAAAAAAAATATGAAATTTCATCTGATGGAGATTATGAGTCTCAAAACTTATGTTAGCTTGATCCAAGTGCTAAAATTAAGAACACATATTTTTTACATCTTTTGGTTATTTAGAAAAAAATAGTTGAAGTGATAAAAAAATTATTTCAAATTCATTTATATTTACATTGAAATAATTACTTTTAAAACCATAATTATTCACAAAAAAATACTACAGGGTGAATATAAAAGTTAGTGTATAATAATAAAAGAAAGACTTAAATTAAGAAAAACTTTACATTGACGGAGAGGATTGTTGTTAGCCAAAGAATTAATGGAGATGATGTGTAGTATATATTCTACGCAGTATTAACTATGTTGGCAAACATAGTTATGTTATTATAAATTTATAAATTCTTTATCATATACCATTTTGGTATGACTAGCCGCCACAAACAAATCTCAATTGCCAACTTCAATTGGAAGCTGTGAGAAGATGCCTTTACCATCATAAGCGTGCACAAAACAGTACATTGGCAGGGATATTTTGTGCAATTGTTAACCATCAATTCATGTTTTGCAATGTCACAATTATCGAGGATAATTTGTAAATTCCAGCCATGCACTTTCTTACCTTAGGATGCTTGGGCGGAAAGTTAGTCACAAAAATATTTTGCTTTTATATAATGATAGATAGCGTGTGTTTGATACAAAACCGACGATACATATTTCTAAGCAAGAATAAATAACCCTAGCTCAAAGTTGTTTGAATTTGTTTTTCTTAAACCGCTTCAGCTACTTGAAGGAAAGTACTCAGATGCAGAAGTGTTCAAATGAAATTAATATGAAACCAATATAATTATAAATACATATACACATTAAATATAGAGATAAATATAAATATTGATACAGATACAAATATACACACATACACACACAAAAGTGAAAATGTAAACACAAATGCAGTGCAAACACAAATATAGGTATAAATATAAATATAAATATAAATATAAATGTGTTTTTAACTTTTATTGGTTTTGTTCAAATAAATTACATTTGTGAATAATGACCCTTGGTGTTTTCGTTCGCAAATATTTGGAGTTTTGAAAAGATATAACGTGAATGTGATAGACACAAAGAGTTATTTCAGGAGGTCATGCAAGAACAAGTTTTGGTGTGAGCCAGTAGAAAAATAGATATTTCTACATATAAATTTTAACACAAAAATTAAAATACAAATATTTTTCCAATTTGGGGTGAGCCAGACCCAATCAGGCCCCCACACCTCCGCTCATGAGTCATTTTTCTACATAATTTTAAGAGAAAAGGGTCAAATAAGCTCTTCTATCATTTCCTATCCATCACTTAAGTCCTTGTACTAAAACAATTATCATATAAGTACACTTATTTTACAAAAATGATCAATTTAGTCAGTTATTCAGTTTTTCACCTATAATAGCAGGTTTTTTACATTAAAAAAATTCTAAAATATTGTTAAACTTTGAAGAAATATAAATACAAATTCTGAAAATTTTCACAATTTGAAATTCAATATTTTTGAAAATTTTAAAATGTTTTTATATTCTAGATCTGTTTAAAAGATTTTTACATTTTATATTTTTAACATTTTCACTTTATTTTTTCAGTTTTTGGATTTTTATTTTAACAATTTTAAATTATCTATCCCTTTATACATATCTACAATTGTTTATATTATTATTACATATTTTTTCAAATTTATAAGAATATTTATTAGATCTTTCAATACTCTTAATGGTTTTTATTATAAAAGAACCTGCTATAGTGGTCAGAATGGATTCATTGATAGATTGAAAATAGTAGAAGAGCTATTTGACCCTTTTTCCTAGTTTTAACATTAAAATTTTGAAATGTAAATTACATCATTAAAATATTCCTTTTGCATCACGTATCTAGAGTCATATTAAGATTATTTCTTATTACATAAGTGACTCTTCCTTTTGAAAATAACTATAGTCAACAAAAGTTATCAAACCACATTTTTGTCCGTCACTCTTCCAGAAATGATATTAGTGCAACTTTTTCTTTAAATAAATGCAATCGAGCAGATTAAGCAGGTAAATGAAATTAATAAACACTTTCAAGGAATAAAAATAGACGATTATTTTTATTTTTGAATTTGGGAAAAGCTTTAATCTTATTTGCAATAATTTCTTCTTCATTATTATTCATTGCCCCATGGGCGTTCTAATAAATCCTAATAAAAGCGGAGGAAAAATTCAAATTGCAAGAAGGGGTACTCCCAAGTCCCAACTCCCAAGTATCAATGCCAAGCATTTCTGTTCAGGTGTAAAAACTGTGTAGTAGTAATTATCATTTTATGATTATCATTCGAGTTCATAGTGTTGAGATATTGGTACTATCCAACTGAGGTAGAGCCAAATCCATCAAGGGCGATACTGACTCAGGAGATATTCTTGTTCCTAATCAATGGACCAACTCTTGTTCCTGCAAAGCAGTAGCAGGGCCAAGAGCCAACGGTGAACCTCCAGGCTGCAGCTCTACTACACAAGTATCCGGGAACATGTAGGTGTCCTCCCGAACTACTTCAGTAGACGACATGGTTACCACTCTCGCCGAAGGAAGGGTCTAACTCTTGGGCAACTCTCTTTTTTACAGGAACTACATGTATATGATAGGAAGACTATTCAATGCAAGGATTTGGGAAGTGTTATACATAATGAGTTCGACCGATATGGCGCTAAGGTGATCCACTCAACTAGCACATTCAACTCCAATGAAGGGGGTTGATTCTTACAATTACTGGTCAAAGCATTTATTTTCCCCTTCATTGTAGCATTATTATGCGATTAGGGGATAGTGATAGTGTATTATTGAATGATTGGGGTAGTGTGTAATATTAGAGCCAAATCTACGTGTGTTGTAAGAGTTAGATCATTAGCCTGAGCCTAGTATAGAGATTTACACTATATCTTTCTTTTTTAACACTTCATCTTTCTTCTACTTCTTCCAATCGATTATCGATCAGGAACAACCCTGAAAGTTCTGTGTTTGCATTTGGATTGAGCCTATAAACTTCAAAAGGTAGCTAATATGTGTACTAATACACATATTTCTTCCGTCCGAGAGTAATTTATTTCAAAAAGATTTTAACCAAAAGAAGAAAAAAGAAGCCAAGTTTAGAGTTGTTGAGTCTCAAACAAGCACTTAGCCCATGATAGACACAGCGCCAGTTGCATTTCAACCCTTCATACCTATATATAGCATATATGTAACATTGTAACCTACTTCATCTTGGCAAATGGCAAGATATGAAAGCGTGGAGAATAATAACACCCGTCAAAAAATCAAAATTAAAATGACAAAACTTACTGCTCTGAGAACCAAACTTGCCCTAGAATTCCACGTGCATACATGATTCTAGATTACAAAGAGGCTACAGCTGAAACGCACCAGTTGCCAGCCACAACCAATGTCAAGCAGATAAAAGCACCAGTAACTATTTTCCAAGAGCTTGTATCATCCATGGATGTTTGGAGGGGAGAGGAGATATAAATCTATATACCGAAATACATGATCTAACTAATCATATACTCCGAATTTGTTTCCGGGTTAAACCTCATAAATTGAGTCTATTGATATAATACAAAACGGTCATTATTCCTCCCCTTCTCACTCTCAAAATCCCCGGACCAAACAAGCCCCAAATGTGTACCTCATAGTCATAGAATCAGTTTTAAGGTACATATTCTATAATCCTACTGTATGGTGTTATAATATCTCCTACGACTCCTGTTTGTCTCCTTATCCACTACTCCGTATATTCACACTAAATTTCAAAGTAATATTATTCACATTATGATATTTTACTGTAAAAAAACTAATACTCCTTATTACAAATCCGCAAAACAGAGGAATAAATAAAGCTTAGATTGAAGGTGTATAAGACTTGAACAGAATTCAAGGTAGACCAAAAATGACTTGGTATGAAGGTGTAGTAAAGAGGGACATTAGAGCATGGGGGATTCATGAGTATATGGTGCAGGAAGGAAAAGGATAAAATGGATTAGGTGTTGTCTATTGATTCATGTAGCCAATCCCAAGGAATTAGGATTAAGTATCACTTGTTGGTATGTATAATTACGCAAGATCTTCTTCTAGACCTAAGGTACTATAATAAGTCGGTGGAGGAACAATAGAAACTACAAACAAGAAGTTCCAATCAAAACTATGGCAAGCATTTCCTTTGGTTTCATGTTCACTGTGCGTAAGATGACAATGAAAAGTTTTATGGTCTTTATATATTCTCCTAAACTCAAAGCTTGCTGTGTGCCTGTGTGTATATATTTATCAATGCATTTCAGTTCACAGAAATAGAGGGGCTGGATGTGACCGCGTGATGAAGTTTCACTTTTCAACTTCACACTAAATAATCTCTCATTGGTTTGAGAACTTCAGGATTTGCTTGGATGGAGGGTTTAGGGGACAATGCTTTGGGGAGGTTAGTCTATAACTTGATAAGCTTTCGAGCTCAAAAAGGTTGAAAGGTTGGCGAGTATGATTGAAGTAACAACATTTCAATCTGCTTCTATTTGTTTTCAAAACCGTTCATTTATCAAGATATAATGATATATAGTAAGCTTCACACCAACACCCTGACAAAACCCTATATCCAAACAGACCTAAAGATAAGCTAAATCTAGCCACATAGAAGTACAGTATGTAGGAATGAAGAACAATGGAAGACACTCGTCATAACATCAGCAATGCCTTGGTGATTAAATTTCATCAATTACAAAGAAAATGAACTCCCATCTAGCACCATATATTGCATGAAACAAGTACACATTCTATTGATACCACAATTCCTTTTTACATGTCTTATAACGACAAGTGAGTGTTTAAAGAGAGTACAAAGATTAGCTGTTTTCTCACCAGAATAAACACTAAGCGTCCAGGTTTTCCATCTGAATGCTGCTCTTGAGGGGCACATATTCCCCGAGATAGCCGCCCAGGTGGTCGTAAAGAGCACTCTTGTCTATCCCCTGATGGTGATAACTCTTGCAAACATAATAGAACACGCTCTGCACCAAAAGCCCCACCAGATTGACAACCACCAAAACCCCTACCAAAAACCCTCCAACCAAAATCCTCGAAAACAGCCCGTAATAGTCCCCTCCGTTCACCACAATCATCCCGAACAACCCGCTGATCACTCCACAGATCGCCAGGTATGAGAAGACAAGAATGAATGCCATCCGGGCCCTCCCCTTCAACAATTCATAGCTCTTCTTCATGGCGGCTAGGCCGTAGACCGGCTCAAGCACGGAAATCACGCTCGCCAAATGCCACACGGCGGTGATGTAGACATGGACGAACAGAAACAGCAAGAACAAGACCACCACCGAGAAAAGGAACAGGAGGACGCTGTCGGTATCGACGGCTACGATTAAGAGCACCAGAAATCCGACGAAAACGATGTTGTACACCAGCATCAGGAAGGAAACCCATACGAAGGTGATGAAGAGACGCCTGAAGACGCCGGGGATGGCGGAAAGCGTTGATGTGAAGGAGACGGCCTTGGCTGTGTAGAGGGAGGCAACGGTGAAGACGACGGCGGCGGTGGAGAGAAGCGAGAACGCGAAGAGGAAGATGAGGTAGCAGAATTGGAAGAGGAGAAGCTTGGCCCACTGGTCGGCGTGGTCGGCGTGAGGGTTATCTCGGAGCTGGGAGAGGATTGGGTGGGTGAAGAGGGAATGGGCCAGAATTGCGAAGGACAGAGGGAAGATTAAAGTGACGGTGATTAGATAGAAGGTCTTCGGAGATCGTCTGGGGATGGAGATTGACTCATTGAGCACGTCGGGAATCTTCAGGAACTGCAGCTCTTCCGGCGGCAGATCCATGGGAGGAGCTCGGATCTAGGATGCTTGGAAGGTTGGGTAGGAGAAAGAAAGGGATCTGGATAAGCTAATTCTGGAATTCTTCAAGTTTAAGAAAGAACGCCGTAATTGAACGGCATCGAATCGGTCAACACGGTTATCACTGTAGAGATTAACGAGTAATGTAGAGAGAAATACATCATTCCGTATACGGAGAAGCTTCCTTCTACCAGTTTTTTTTTTTGTTTATTTTGTGTTCAGTAAAAATGTAAAATTCTATTTTTTTTTCTTTTTTCTTACTCTTTTCTGTTTCAACTACTTTCCAAATTTATGCTTTTGCATTTTTCCACAATAATAGAAAAACATTTATTACAGTCAATGTATTAAATGAACTCGAGATGTGTTACAAGGAGAATAAGGGCTGCTATTTATAACAGTCATAAATGCTAGGTGAGTATACGTGTCAAACATCTGACGGTCGAGGGTCACCTCAATCGGGATGGCACCGGCATTTGCATGTGCACCGCATTAAATGCGGTGATTGGACGTGACGCCACATTGAATGCGGTGGTTGCCTGTCTCTAAAAGGAATCTTCGTTGAGTGTTCTGTAGACGAAGGCCTGGCCTGTGGCCGAAGGCTCTGTGTAGCCGAAGGCTACCCATGTGCCGAGGCCACCTCGTAGCCGAAGGCTCCTATTTTCTGCCACTTTTCCCCAGTAGCTTCACATGCTTAAAAACAGTTGTGTCCTGGAGTTTGGAGCCCTCATACGGCCGAAGGCACCTACACTTGCACCATGGGCTTCTTCACACGTGGGCCGAAGGCACCTACACGTGCACCGTGGGCTTCTTCATACGTGGGCCGCTACATTTGGGCTTTGAGTGCTCATTGGGCTTGATGGGCCTGTGTAGGAGAAGTAGGAGTCTTTGGGCCGGGGATCCCCGGGCCATATATACTCCATCAAATCCAATCAATTACATTTATCCGATCAATTACGATTACCCGAACCTACCAGTTATAGTTACATATTCCGTTCATTTATAGTTACATAAGTCGTTCATTTATGACCCGTCCAGTTACATTTACTCTATTCGTCCAGTTGCAGTTACCCGACCGTCCAGTTACAATTACTCGGTCCGTTCAGTTACCCTTTACACAACTTGTCCAGTTACAATTACCCGACCCACTCAGTTACAGTTACATGATTCGTTCAGTTACAATTACTCAACCCGTTCAGTTAGCCAACCCCATCCAGTTACAATTACTCGGCTCAGTCAGTTATAGTTACTCAATCCGTCCAGTTACAATTACCCGATCCGTCCAGTTAAAGTTACTCGATCTGTCCAGTTACAATTACCAACATGACCAATTACCCGACTCAATTAGTTATGTTTATCCCGGTTCAATCATTTATTCATTTACAATTACTCGGTCCAATCCCCGGATTTATAGTGACACCGTCCAGTCAGACTCACCGCCACCGCTTTGGCCGGCCTTTTGCCCCGCAACTGCTCCGCCGGTCATTGCCACCGGCGTAGTTGGCATAGCCACCCATGCCCCACCTCAGACCCCTGGCTCGTCCCAACCCCTTCCCCTGCCCGACCCCCCCATCCCCCATCCCCTTCCCAGGTTCACCTGCACCTGCACCCGCACCCAGCATCAAGACTTAACCCCTGGCGGAAACCACCTCTCTAAATCGCCGCCACAAATCACCGCATCAGAACCCTAGCCGCCGCCTAACACCGCCACATTAGAATCCTATGCGCCGCTCCTTTAACTCGCTCTAACCAATTCATTACCCTACCACCGTTGGTCAGATATGTTACGCTAGTCACCGCCGCCGCACATCGACTATTAAGCAATCTCAAATCTGAGTCGTCTCCTATTGGAGGTCATAGCTAGCCATCTTACCCGTGGTCCTCATCGTCACTGTCCTTCACCTTACATCGATTAGAAATTGAGGAAGAAGAATAAAAGTCGTGAGCGGCGATGTGAAGGCGGATGCAGCGATTTGGAGTAGGAGGCGAGCTAGCGGCGGAGGCGGTGACTGGTGGTGTCTGAGAATCGTTGTCTGGTGGCGGCGGCATCTCTTACTTGTCTGGATGATACGATGACGGTCTAAAGCATGGTCGAAAGAGGGGTTATTTCAGTCCATTTATTATTAATATATCAGTTTTTTGTCTAAATTTAATTGTGGTCCTATATTTGGGAAATGGAAACTCATACGTATTATTATAGTCATTCTTTCATATCTTATACATGGCGGAATCTGATGCTCGGAATGTGAGATATCTGTGTTTGGTTCACGGGTTTGATATTTTTTTTGGGAATATTACATTCCCAAACGTGGAAAAGGTGATCACATGAATGAGCATGTGAAATCCACTAGAGCCTTAGGTTATGTTAGATTCCTAGTGGCGTATTAATGTTCTTCCAAAAAACCCATGCTTCATTAATCTAATACAAGTTCATAACTTCTGATATACCACTCTTCATTTTGTAAATTTTTAAAATTATACTGTAGTTTTTCATTATAGTTGTTTGAAATTATTTATACAATTATACTACATATTGTAAGCTAGTACTATATTTTTCACTAATCTTTGTCATTTGTACAATTAAACATATTTTGCTTAAAATTATTACTAATGTTCACTAATGTTAGTCATTTGTGCAATTAAATACATTTTTCTTAGAATTAATTCAATTAGTTTTTATTTTAATTATTACTAAGATGTTTTATTTTTCTAAAGTTTTAATTACTTTAATTATAGGTTGTAATAAGTGTAATGTGTTAAGAGACAAATATTTTAAGCGCATTCAAGTAATTCACCAAATATGCAATATAAGATATCGTTCAACCAAACAATTTAATGTTACATTCTCTTAATCGTCGTAACCAAACACAAATGAATTATACATTAATCACATTCCCATCTATCTAACATACCCAATAATCTAACATTCTCATGGTAATCTGACATTCCTTAAACCAAACATACCCAAATTTTCAAAATTGTTTCCTAAATTAAACTTTCCCAAATTTTTGAAAAAAGTGCTTTTGTTTTTGTTCTTACGAAATGGAAGAAAATTAAGACAAGTTAGAAAGATACTACTCCGTTCTCTTTTAAATAAAACATTGGACTTTTTACACTATTCATATGTTCTATTTTGACTCTATTTTATTTATTAATGTATTATAAATTAAATTTAAAAAAACGTTAAATTCTTTTCATTTTAAATTTTTTAAATCTAAATTTTTAATTTTTTTTTCTAATAATGAATGAAAGATATTAATGGTCAAACTTGTGCATTGACAAACATGAAAAGTGGACTGTTGCAATTAAAAAAGAACGGAGTAATTATTATATTATGAATACTCATAAGAGAATTGTTCTTGGAATGCTTTCAATGAAGGTGAATACTCTTATTTATAGAAAAAAATGCAATATCCTCTATATTATAATTGAATTGTAGTTCACACAATCACCATCTTAATTTATAAGTGTGATTTCTGATTTATTTTTTATAATGATGTTTTTTTAATCTAAATAGTTAGAAGATGACCAACTCATTTATACTAACTCTTTTAGAGTTCTAGGCTATGTTAACTTTTCATATACATAGACACATAGTGTATCTTTCTTTAACCCGATAGACAAACCACCTGGGGAGAGGGGTAAAAGTCGGGAACGGTTACCAGATTTTATTAAAAACATCGAGAAAAAAGTGGAGTGGGACTAGACCAAAACCTATCCGAGAAGGCATCTCTAGACGAGAGTCTGGGCTGCAAGATGGTGAGGTGCCCAATTTCCTTCGCGATGCACATGTGCAATTTCCTTTATGACAACACTCCATCTATTTGCACCATCTTCTCGTACGCAGCTCAAAGCAACCGTCGAACTAGCTTCCACCTGAAAGTCTTCGTAAGCAGTGTTGATTGTCCAAATTGTGGCTATGATGATGGAGAGGAGCTCGACTTCAAGGCCGGAAGAAGCATTAATTGGAAAAGAGGTTGCACATACCAACTCGCCTCCATTACTTCTCAGTATTGCGCCTCCAGCTGCAACTCCACTAGGAAAGAATGATGCATCCGTATTTAGTTTGTGTACAGTAGTCAGCCTTCTCCATTTTATCTATTTCACCCGTGCGTTGCATAGGGTGTTAAATGCATATACTAAAACTGTAAACGTATAACCACATCTATAGATTAAACTAATTTTTATTGACGTTTAATAAGCACAATTTACAAATTATTGAAGATTTCTTTATAGGCAACATTTTTTTTTGCATTTTTCTAATTTTCATCGTCGTCGCACACCACAAACTTTAAGCCTGACGGACATATCATCCTCGAGTTGCAGCATACAATATTCCATGCGCAAAACTGGATGTCGCAGGAAATCACCTACAGTCTGCAATGATTGTCCTCGCCTCTTGTTCACCGTGATTGCATAGCTAAACCATCAAGAAGAATTGTCTACCTATAAATGCAAAATGAAGCCTTACATTCTTGGGCGTATCTTAAAATAAAAGAATCAAAATCTTTTTCGTTTTTTTACAAATGATCATATTCAGGAGGATAAGCATAGCAGTTTTTAAATAAAGCAAATAATGATAAGTAGTAAAAAAAAATTATGCTCATGTTTCTCACGAAGTCCCGATTAGTCACGTATGGATTTGTTAATATCAATTATATGCATCTATGCATATGGATTTTGATTTTATATTTTCTAAACTTAATTAAAATTATAAAATTAGAATATTAATTTACGTGTTTCATTTTCATTATGAATAAAAATATAAATTTCTAAAATAAGCCCTTATAATTTGTTATATGTATAAACACACCTTTGTAACCCATATCTCATTTTATTTGGTTTAGTCAAACACTGGGGTTCACGTTTATTTTTTTTAAAGAAATTATCCTAAATGGGACTAAAACATGGTTAAAACTCCAAAATAGGACTTGAAATTTTAAATTGCTTAAATGGGACTCCAGATTACAAACATCGTCGCTCTACGATCTTCTTCCCCAGAATCTGCCCGCATGAGAGTTACGAACTGCTCAATTTCTCCAGCCATAATCTGTCGGCTAGGTAACCCTCTTTCCCTTTTCCTCCTCCTGCTTCCTCTTCCTCTTCTTCTCTTCTTCTT